GACAGAAAAACAATTTTGCTATATTTGAACCGCAATTTCAGGCGAACGGATTCTTGGGTAGTTTGTTTGCCAGGTCTTTCAAGTCAGGACATAAGATGGAGGTTGGAAATTTCCTTAAAAAGCATAGCAATGTTTCTTTTCAAGACGATATTAACTGCTGGGTTCCGAGCCGTTGGGAGGTTCTGCACCAACAAGAATTTTCTTAGAACGGCGCCATAGCAGTGGAAATGCATTTCCTTCTTTAAGAAATCCCAAAATACAAAAATTACCTAAGATTCCTTAAAAAATACTGAATAAATCATTGGAATACTGAATCGATTTGCGTTTGCGGTCCCATTTTCCGCTGCAGCTCGTTGATACGGCTTTTTCCGTCTCTTTCTAGCACGTGTGTTTCTTATGGAGGACAATGTCGCCGATGTAGAATGAAATCAAAAAGAATAAATTCTCAAAAAGTAGAATTTCTAGTTCTTGATACTGCGCTGATCCGAGGGTGGGTCGCCTGGCACTCAAAATAAAATTTACTCGATATTTTCTTTCTTTGAATAAAGAACATTTTTCTTAAATCTATAAGTAAAATAAAATTGTTTTGCATGAATTTTTCTAAAAATGATTACCCTACTATTTCTTTCTTTATCTTCGAACTGATTTGTTGCTTTAAAAAAGCTTTGTTGCTGTTACTTTTACACTCTTTATATTTTGTATCGTTAATCGTTCTACCAGTGGGTGGGTGTACTCGCTAGGTCACTTCACGATTCAGTCACGATTCACAAATACTATATAATATATTTATTTGTATTTAATTTATAAATATTATATAGTTTGTTGCCTTCGGGTGTAAATTTTATATTCCACAGCACAGATTTACGCTGCACATTTTTATTTCAACAAAATAAAAATATAAAAATGAATAAGTTAGTTTTAGTTTTAAAAAAATTGTTAATCGGGAGTTGATACCCCTTTTTAGTTTTAGCAGTTTGCGACACTCTTGTTATTAACCCCTCGGAACCTTTACAACACTTTACAATCGCTTGGCAGCACTAGTTGCGCGCCAACACACGGTTGCATTTGACAATTCTAATTTTAAGTCAACTTTACTATAAAAATAAACTCCAATATGGACTCCGGGCCCCTTAATTGTAGTAATCCCACCTGTGTCCTGCGCAGGATACAGACAAATCGGCGAAAAGCTGCTTGCTACGGAAATGCGGCCCTGGAATCGAGATGCAGCCCTAGCCGCCCACCAATGACCTTGCGCTGACATTGCCGCAAAGCAGTTGCGGACGAAGACGAAGAAGATTTGCGGAATCAGTGGAATTGCGACCCGGGCCTTGCTAACACACATCAGGAGTATCCATAAAATCCAGAAAAATCCCAAGATGGCCTTCAACAAACTGAGCATCGAGAACCTGGACTTGAATGGCAAGCGGGTGCTGATGCGGTAATTGGGAAATGCTCCCTTGAAATTCAGTTGCATAAACTTTCGTTTTCGTTTCACTTAACCGACAGAGTGGACTTCAATGTGCCCATCAAGGAGGGCAAGATCACCAGCAACCAGAGGATTGTGGCTGCACTGGATAGTGTCAAGTTGGCCCTGTCCAAGAAGGCCAAGTCGGTGGTGCTCATGTCCCATTTGGGTCGTCCCGATGGCAACAAGAACATCAAGTACACTTTGGCCCCCGTGGCCGCTGAGCTGAAGACCCTGCTCGGCCAGGATGTGACCTTCCTGAGCGACTGCGTCGGCAGCGAGGTGGAGGCCGCCTGCAAGGATCCCGCCCCAGGATCCGTCATCCTGCTAGAGAACGTCCGCTTCTACGTGGAGGAGGAGGGCAAGGGACTGGATGCCAGCGGCGGCAAGGTGAAGGCCGATCCCGCCAAGGTCAAGGAGTTCCGCGCCAGCCTGGCCAAACTGGGTGATGTCTATGTGAACGATGCCTTTGGCACTGCCCATCGCGCTCACAGTTCCATGATGGGCGATGGCTTTGAGCAGCGTGCCGCTGGTCTGCTGCTCAACAAGGAGCTGAAGTACTTCTCGCAGGCCCTGGACAAGCCACCAAATCCCTTCCTGGCCATTCTTGGTGGTGCCAAGGTTGCCGACAAGATCCAGCTTATCGAGAACCTTCTGGACAAGGTCAACGAGATGATCATCGGCGGCGGCATGGCCTTCACCTTCCTGAAGGTCCTTAACAACATGAAGATCGGTGGCTCCCTGTTCGACGAGGAGGGCTCCAAGATCGTGCTGAACCTGGTGGAGAAGGCCAAGAAGAACAACGTTCAGCTGCATTTGCCAGTGGACTTTGTCTGCGGTGACAAGTTCGCCGAGAACGCCACCGTGAGCGAGGCCACCGTGGAGGGCGGAATTCCCGATGGACACATGGGTCTGGATGTGGGTCCCAAGACCCGTGAGCTCTTCGCGGCGCCCATTGCCCGCTCCAAGCTGATCGTGTGGAACGGGTAGGTGTCCCACTTATGGATTATTTTCGCATATCGTTGTAACATTTTTATATGTACCCTTGCAGACCACCCGGTGTGTTCGAGTTCCCCAACTTCGCCAACGGCACCAAGTCCATCATGGACGGCGTGGTGGCCGCCACTAAGAACGGAACCGTTTCCATCATCGGCGGCGGCGACACTGCCTCTTGCTGCGCCAAGTGGAACACGGAGGCACTCGTCTCGCACGTCTCCACTGGCGGCGGCGCTTCGCTAGAGCTCCTGGAGGGCAAGACACTGCCGGGCGTGGCTGCTCTAAGCAACGCCTAAGTCCCCAAAGACCGTATATTTATGTTAATCGCATCGTTTATCTTGTAAGCACAAACCAACACGTTTAAAAGTTGAATCTAATTGTTGCGGAACCATATTATGCATATGAAATAAAGGAAACCTAGCTTACTTGCGGGCAAAGTTGCTGTCCATGGAGGAGGCGGTGCGCTGGATATTGTTAAGATTGGCACGAATGCGATCGCCTATGGAGTTGTGGTTGGCAATAGCCTTCTTGACCTCCTTATTGATGAACTCCTTGTCGAAGTCTCGTTCACGGTTTTGGGCCTCTTCGCGGGCGTAGGCTTCTCGGTGCTTGCGTACCACCTGGGTGCGATCCGCTTCCCTCCAAGTGGCATTGTCCATCATTTCGCGCAGACGAGCTTCCCGGTCGGATTCGCTAAGCTTCGGCTTGCCGGCTGGACGATTGGGAGCTGGACTGCGATCCTTTTCCCTTCGTTGAAGTGGTTTCTCTGGACTCCTTCGTCGTTCTTCTCTTTTGGAACTTCTGCTCCGGCTGCGCTTAGATCTAGAACGCTCCTCGGGGCTTATACTGCTACGTTTGTCTCTCTGCTTGTAGGTTTCCTTGCTTTCTTCTGGCCGTCGGCGTCTCTCTTTTCTGTCCTGTGGGCTTCTGGTCCTCTGTCTCTGCTTTCTCTCTTCGGGACTTCTGCTCCTCCGCCTTTCTTTTCTCTCCAGTGGACTCCTGCTCCTCCGCCTTTCCTTTCTCACGTCTGGACTCCTGCGCCTGTGCCTTTGCTCTGGACTTCTACTCTGTCGCTTTGTCCTATCTCGAGGGCTTCTGCTTCTGCGCCTCTCCCGCTGCTTAGAATCTTCTGGACTCCTCTTATCCCTTCTCCTGGACTCAGGTTCCCTAGATCTTTGCCGCCTAGGCTTTTGATCGTCGTCACTACTTTCATCACTGTTGTCGCTGGTTTTCCTCTTAGATTTCTTGCTCTTTTTCTTGGTGGCCAAGTCTAGTTGCTTGGATATAGTTCGATATTTGGCGTCCAGCAGTTTGTCCAACTTGAGTTCACCATTGCTGTGGTCTCCCTTCAGCTTACTGACCTGGCGGGCCAGTTTTCTGTCCAAGTCATCGTCGCTATCGTTGCTCTCAGTGTCATCCTCATCACTGGATTGCCTTTTATTTTTCTTCTTTTTGGACTTCTTGGACTTTTTGCTCTTCTTGGCCTTCTTATCTTTGGAGGCCTTAAGATCCTGTTCGGTCTTTAGGATGCGGTGGATTTCCTTTAGTTTGACGGGGTTCTCGAGAAGTTTTCGGCGGGATTCCATTTCGCGCTGCTTGATGAGCATGAGAGGATCCTCGAGGGTCTTGCGCTGCATGTCCACCTGTTCGGTAGACTGCAGGTTGCGGTATGTCCGGATGGAGAAGGGCACGCAGTCGTGCTCCACATGATTGATGGACTGCTTGAGGCCGACTGTGTTCTGTTCCTGGCGGTGCTCCTCGGCCTGCAGGGTCTCAAAGGATTTGTCGATCTTGCGACCCAGAAGGTACTCCTCGCGATTGATCAGTTCCGTGCTGTCTGGATTGAGATATATAGAGATTAAGGGATTTATCAGAGTTTCATCTGGGTGACTCACTTTTGTACATCCATTCCAGCTTGGCTTCGCCGGCTGCTCCACCACTACTGCCCAGCACTCCGGATCTTTCGCCTAGCCGCCTCAGCTCCTCCCTGTCCCTCTCCTCGTTGATCTCCTTGCGGAGATCTTCCAGCTTGCGCTCCTCCATCTTTGCCTGCTCCTCCGCCTTCCAAACGCGCTCCTGATTTTTCATCGTGTGCGGATGCCATGATTTCTTTAGGTTCTGCGGGGGAAATCGACCGTTTTTAAGGGATAATGTGTTGGGAAGCTATCACTTACTAGATCTCCACCACCCATCTTGGGGTTTGTTTAGGTTCAAACAGCAAAACAAACAAATTCCAAACAATTTCAGTTTTCCCTCCTTTTCGGCTGTTTTCATCAAAAACATATGTTTGCCAAGGCTGCCAGATAGTTCAGATGTAATAAATAAAACGGAGTTGCCAGAAAGTAGGAATGTTATTTAACTAGTTTAAAAATATTTTTTAAATAAAGGTACTCTTTAATTAAGACAACCAATTTTTTTTACTAATTTTTTTATAAAAAAAATATGTTTATTGCCTAATACTTACTTGAATGAGTGTTTTGTTTCAAAAATCGTTTTTCATTTTTAAGTCAAAATATTTATTTAAATTTCGTCGGTCAAACATACAAACAGTGCGAAAAAACCTTTTGTTTAGAAATGTTGAAGCATGTTGAAATGCTTTCCTTACAAAATAAGTATCTTAAGTTTTTACCATTCAACAATACCGCTCATTTGATTCGAATCCCAAATGCAGCTAAGTTTTTAAGATATTTTAGCAAAGATAACTGCAATGGTAAGCAAGCTCAAGCAAAGAAGTTAAGTTTAAAAAATGTCGATGTGGCTGGAAAAAGAGTTTTTATGAGGTAAGGATCCAGAAATATATTTGTACACATTTAATAATTAATATTCAGAGTGGACTTTAATGTACCCATGAAAGATGGTAAAATAACAAACAACCAACGTATTGTGGCCGCCCTTCCAAGTATTAAATATGCTTTGGATAAGAAGTGTAAATCTTTGGTGAGTTCTTAAGTCAATTAAATAGCTACAAATCTAATATATTATTGAAAAATCACAATTCCAATCATATTTAAAAAAAGTTAGTAACATCACTTTTTTCCTAATTTTTGTTTTAGGTTTTGGCCTCCCACTTGGGACGTCCTGATGGCAAAAAGGACAAGAAATTCAGCCTGGAGCCGGTGGCCAAGGAGCTGGAGAAGGTGCTGGGAAAGCCGGTTTGCTTCCTTGACGACTGTGTCGGTGATCAGACCCTGGAAGCTCTTAAGGATCCGCCCGAGGGTAGTGTCCTGCTGCTGGAGAACCTTCGCTTCTACGCCGAGGAAACGGGAAGCAGCAAGGACGAGAACAAGAAAAAGGTCAAGGCCGATCCCCAGAAGGTCAAGGAGTTCCGTGCCAAGTTGGCGCAGCTGGGCGAGATCTATGTAAACGATGCCTTCGGAACAGCCCATCGTCCTCATAGTTCCATGATGGGCGATGGTTACAAGGTGCGTGCTGCTGGTTTCCTCTTGGACAAGGAACTGGAGTACTTTGCCAAGGTCCTTCATAATCCGGCGACGCCCTTTTTGGCCATTTTGGGTGGAGCCAAGATAGCTGATAAAATTCCCCTGATCACCAATCTCTTGAATAGCGTATCCGTTATGATCATATCCGGTGGCATGGCCTTTACATTTCTAAAAGTCCTCAACAACATGGAGATTGGAAAATCCCTCTTTGACGAGAAAGGAGCCAAGATGGTAAATGACATAGTCTGCAAGGCAAAGGAGAAGAATGTGAATATAATATTTCCGGTGGATTTCGTTATTGCCAACAAGATCGACAAGAAACCAGATAAAATCGATCGTGTTGATGGCCAACAGGGTATACCAAAAGATATGATGGGTCTGGATCATGGGGAGTTATCCAGTGCAGTGTTTGCAGGCGCCATTTGTGCATCCAAAACCATCGTGTGGAACGGACCGCCGGGTCTATTCGAAAACGAGCTATTCTCCCAGGGTACCCAGTCCATGTTGGAGGCGGTCATTGGAGCCACAAAGCGGGGAGCCACCACAATTGTGGGCGGAGGAGATACGGCCACAGCTTGCTTGAAGTTCGGTGGAGCAGACAAGGTCTCCCATGTGTCCACCGGAGGTGGAGCTTCGCTGGAGCTGCTGGAGGGAAAGGTCCTGCCAGGTGTGGCTGCTCTCTCAGATGCCTGAAAACAAATCTTTACAATCCTTATTCTCCTCAATTTACACAGTTCAATTGAAAATATAGTAATGATCTAAAAATACATATTCTGAATTAATTCTTAAACATCTTATTCAAAGAATAATAACAGAGCCTCGCAAAATACAAAGTTAGGTTTTATTTTCGAATAACATTAGTTGGTTAAAACGTGATAAAAGAGCGGGCGTCGTTCTAAACAGATCTCGTATGGAATTTTCTGTCTTTTTACCTCCATTTCTTCTAAACTTAAAATTTAGCTTGTTTCTCGTAGCGAAATCTTTCGAAATAGTAACTAATAACCGCAATCAACTTAACAAAACATACATTTTTGGCATAACGACCATACGAGAACTGTTTGGGCCCAACTCTGAAGGGTAATACAAATGGAATAACATTGTTTGGATTAATCGAAACTAATAAGTTCCGCTGTGGCTGGCTCTTCAGCCTTAACGGGCGCGGGTCCGGGTTCGTTTTGCGGCGGAGCAGGTGCAGCAGCCACCGCCTGCACTTGGTTATTGGTGATTTCGGTGACTGGAGGTGCCTGTGGAGCTGGAGGCGCCTGGTTGGGCAAGGGCTGATGCTGCTGGTGCATTACGTGAGTCAGTTGTGGTTGGGGCTGCTGTACGGGGATTTGCTGTGGCTGTTGACCGGGAATTTGCTGTGACTGTTGAACTGGGATTTGTTGAGGCTGCTGTTGAAATGGTATCTGAGGATTGGGATGCTGTTGTGCCTGTGGAGCTTGCGGCTGCTGTAGGATTGCTGGATTGTTGGCGAACTGATTTTCGGGCATGGGCGGCATCATCTGGGCATTTCCAGGCGGAGCAGGTTGCTGCATTAAGCCACCGGGCTGCTGAAGATTCGGAGGCATCGGTTGTTGCATTGAAGGATTGTACATTCCCGGCGGAATGGCCTGGAACTGACCATGACCGTTTGGAGCCGGGGCAGGTGCCTGTGGCAGATAACCAGGCACGCCGGCAGCATATGGATTGTAAACATTGTTAAGCTGGTGCGAGGGCGATCCGTGTTGCGGCACCGCCGACGGTGGCATGTAGGGAAACGGTGGGGCCGACTGACCCATCAAATACTGCGCCTTCTGTTGCTCCTGACGCAACTGCATTTCGCGCTCCTGCTCCTGAATGCGCTGCAGTGCCAACTGCCGTTGGTATTGCAGGTACTCCTGCTTCTTCTTGCGCATTATATCCAGCTTCTGAGCCATTTGCATCTGCCGTTGACGCTCCTGCTCCTCGGCGATCCTGCGCAGTTTCTCCACATGCTCCTGCCGCAGCTGATCCAACGCAGCCCTCGAATCCTTGATCTGGGTGAGCTTGTCCTGCAGCTGTTCGTACCACATGCGCTTGTCGTCCATTTCCTTGATGTAGGACAACTGCTGGGAGTGCAGCGAAGTCAAAGTCATGAAGAGGGTTTGCACCGAGGAATCGTTGGAGATGCTACGACCACGGCTAGAGTTGGACTTCATGCGGTTCACAAAGATCTCCACCTGGGTGCGCATGTTGGCGGCAAACTCATCGATCTGCACCTCATCGGCGCTCTTGGCCTGCAAGGGCATAATCTGCTGGGGCTGCGGTGTTGGTGGCATGGGACTTGGCGCCGAGGGACTTGCCATCGAGGAGGATTCGCTGATCTTGCGCTGCTCCCAGTAGCTGCGGTTTAAATACTTGGCCAGCTCCGGATTGGTCGCCTCCTCTGGCTGCGGCTGGTGGTACTCTTTGGGCTCGGGCGGCGCCTCCGGACTGGGAGACCTCTGCTGGATGCGATAGGCAGCGGCTGGCTGGGCCTGCTGCTTGGGCTTCTGCTGCTCCGCCTCCGATTGACTGAGGGCCAGGGCCAGCTGCAGTTCCTCCTCCTCCTTGAGTTCCTGCTCGGTCTTGCGTGCGGGTGTCTGGATAGTAAAAAGTTTGGTATTAATTGGATGATAATAACTTAATAAATATCACATCAGTTTTTAAAATAAAAATTCAATGTTTTTAATTTATTATTATCTAGGTAACAAACAATTTAATGATATTTTTCATAAACACAACTAACAATCTAAACGTTTCAAATCAAACTGAACAAGATCAAACACATCTCATTGCTTACTTTAAGAAATTAGAAATTTAGTTTATACAACTTATCAATAAAAATGTATGCTTCTATTATAAACAAAAATAAATTAAATTTCTCACAAAGAAAACCAACCATCTAAACGTTTAAAACAAGACTGAATATGACCGATTGAAGAGGTATAAGTGGCTACTTTTAAAAGCATGAGTTATTGTTTTTTAATCTGCTTTGATTTGATAAACACAAATGCACTTCTGGGTGACTCACCTGCACTTGCTGAGCTAATGTGCTGTTCAGATACTCCGCCGGGAGCTCGCTGTCCGCCGGTCGTGCTCCAGACTTTGCGCTAGCTCCTCCGCTCGTCGGACGCTGGAGGGCAGCGAAGCATCCGTCGCAGACCCTCACCTCCTTCTCGATTCCGTACTTGGGCAGCGGACACTGCTTGGCAGTGCACTGGCCACAAAAGACCTGGCCGCAGTTTCGGCAATGGTGCTTCCGGTTGGTGAAGGTGAATTCCACGCGACAGCGATGGCACACCCTGCCATCGGCCCAGTTCGGTGCCGTGTCCGCCGTGAACATGGCATCCGCCTCCCGGAGCTCGGGGAAAGTGTGCCCCTTGGCCTTCAGGATGGTCATGGTGTCCTGCAAAGGATGATAATATTAATAGTAAGCCACCATATGTGAGTAAGTCTACTAGGGATTCCTCCTCTAAGCTTAGTTCTTCCTCGGAGCTCATTTCGACTCAACTGATGAGTTTTCACTGGCTCTTTGTTCAAATCAAACAGTTGATTCTACTAATTAGATTAATGCTAATAGAGACAGGGGCGGATTTTTGTACTAGAGGTTTTTTTTTTGTTAGACAACTAAAATTGTGTTTTAAATATATCAACTATTGGGCCTAGACTACTATATTTTTTTAATCAACTTAACAAGGAACCATCCTATCATTGAAGTAAACAAATTACACCAGTATTTTATAGATCATTTTGACTTTTTGACCTTTTGGTTACAAAATATTAGAAAAATTCGGAATTTACAAAGATATTTAAGATTTTGGTTCCTTAAATAGGAATCCTATATCACTTGGTTGTTCACCTGAAAAAACTTCGTAAATTCTGTTGATTCTTAGGGGGAAATCCCTTTCTAGGGAACAACCAATTCATGGGAAATCCCTTTCTAAAGAACACATGATCCTACCTTTATGGCCTGGTATTTGTCCGAGGAGCGGAATGCATTGGCCCAGGTCTGGACCAGCTCGAGCATCTTCTGACGGACGTTCTCGTGGGGCGTGGACTCCAGGAAGCTGCTGAACATCTCGCAGTTCTCCTTGGTAAAGACCTCCTCGTGAACGGGTGCTCCACAGTTCTTGACGATGCTCTCGAGGACCAGAAGGGAATAGCAGGAGGAGTGGGGATTGGGGGAGTTCATCTTCTTCTTGATGGCGGCAAAGGCATTCTTGGGACTGCAAAAAATATATTGTTAATTAGCTATAACTATTAGTACTTCCAAAAACTTACGTGACATCTTTCTGATTGATTTCATCGCAAATCAAGAGAATGGAGGGCCAGTCGGGCTCCAAACGCAAGTGACTCGTGGCATTTTCTGGAAATGGTAAGTGCGTAATTAGTCGACCTTTGTGCATTTATCATAATCTTCAATTGGAGAGTTCAATTGCCTTTTTATTGTTACTTCTTAAAAGTTTTTTTGTTGTCTTTGGTTTTTCGATGAGTCACTTTTACTGGCCAATCATTAGGCTTATTCTCCTTGTTTTCCGGTTTACTTACCCAAGTTTTTGTCAAAATGTGATCGAAACATGTTTAATGTACTATTTTGCTGCTTCTTGTCGTTGTATTTCTTCTTTAATTGGACTTAAATTAAGCAAGTTTTTTTATTATTGTTTTGCAAGTGCAAAGAAATTTTCTGCGAAAACACCAGGGTTGCCACTGCGATGGAATAAGAATACTTTGGCGATGTTGCCAGATGGCTGTACGAGCGCTAGCAACGAAAAAATGAGTAGCTGCAAATGACTAACGCGTTAAGTTTAAAAAGTTAAGTTTTCAATTAAAGAACGGTTTTTCAAAAAGAATAAATATTATCCTTAAACATTTTAAACTAAATTAAAAATTGTTTATTTATTCATTTTTAATTTATTAATGTATAGCTCTGCAAAATCATTTCAAATATATTCTGGTGCAAAATTGCAACAAATTAAAAAAATGTATTCAAAAACAACACATGTTTTTAATCAGCTTTTCGGCCATTAATATTTTTAGGTTCCCAATTTAAAACAGCAAGTTAATTCTTCCGAAAAAATGTATTTAAAAATCCAATTATACCCAAAACAGTCGCTGTTGTTTTTCATAAGCTTTCCAGCTGTTCATTTATTTATAGTTTCCAATTAAAAACAGCAAGCCATCTACTTAAACTTCTTGTTTATTTCGTTTGTTCATATAGGTCTCTCTTACAAAATACGTTAACTAGACAATAATTACACGTACAATATATAAATGTTAGTTTATCCATACATAAACAGTATAAAAACTATGATTCGCTATGCTTAGAGGTTGCCGCAACAATTGGCATTGGCATATTGCAATGGTCCGTTGCATTTCTTTAAAGTATCACACGCCGATATATAAAAAGTTGGGTTTACTTGCAACTAAGCGATATAAGTAACATAAAATCACATTCGATTCAAATTAAGCCGAATACTAAAAGCAAAACACACAATAGCCCCATTCAGTTCGTCTTGATCTTGTGTTTCAGCGTAAAGTAGGCCAAAACCTTGAAGATCGCTATTTGGATCAGGATCATGATGATGTTGTGGCCAAAATCGCCACCCTCCATTCCGAACTGTCGCAGAACAGTGACGGCGTTTCTAAAAATTATTAAAAATTAATTATTATTATACATTTTTCATAATATTTCTTAAAGTTTTTACTCACTTGAAGTGGCAATAGAACTCCGTGGGCGGACAGATCAACTGCCCCCGCTGGTTGC